CCGGACCCTGGCTGGACCCAGGCCTGAAAGCCTGGAGCCAGACCTCTGCAGCAGCCCTCACAGCAGCATCTGTGGGCTGTCATCTCCCAGACCAGACTACCCTAAGTGTTCTAGGGTGCTTTCACCACCTGTGGGAAGAGAGGAGCCCCGTGCCCTATTTACTCTGGAAAAGTGGGCATGTTCCCAGGGCAGAGGCTCTGGAGCCCCAGGGAAAGTCCCTCCCATTTTCAAAGGTTTTCAAAAATCCCACTGAGAAGAGCAGAGAGGGCTTATCTACCGTTTCCCTGAAACACCCACATCAAGTTCAGCCAAGGAGAAAAACAGAAAGTATTAGGGGAAGAGCATGTAAATGTAAGACAAAGTTGGCAGGACTTAAGAGAGTCTAAGGAGATGAAGGAATGTGGTTGAGAGAGCAACCGGTCTCCATTGCATGCTGCCAGCCTTGATGGGAGGAAACAGGGTTAACCTTAAAGAGGACTTCTTTGGAGAGCGAGATGCTATTTTTAGCAACCTCAAGGGTGCCCTGACTTCTCCTTGCTGACCCAAGTTATTCCAGTGATTTGCCAAGGGAGACGGGGTGGGGTACATCCTTATCTAATCTATGTGACTAACATCCTGCATCTGTCCACCAAAGCAAACTTCATCCCTTTGATCTTCACGGTAAGCCTAAGCAGAGGCAGCACACTTTTCTTTCTCAAGTGAGGAAATAGGTGAAGTGGCTCACTCTCGCTTAGGGTGACAGTGACAGAGGCCTGCATTAGCACTAGACCCAGAGGCTTTCCACCGAGCACTGTGGACACCCAGATGGTTCTAGAAGCATCCACCAGAGGAAGGAGCAGGAATCCTGGGTTGCAGGACCTCCTGCTCTGCCCCCAAAGACCAGTGCCATCTCCTGCCTGGATACCCCTCTTCTTTTCCCTGGCTGTGTACACCCACCAAGCCCTCCCTCCCCATCTGTGTCAGATTAGAATGATCAGCAGAACCCTGCATATTTTAGGAGCACATTTAGTAATGGTGTTTGCAGTCTCCTGAGGCAGCACTTTTTGCACATGCAAACCCCACTTACTCAATCACATGGCCGTGAGCCTTCGTAAAGTAATATTCTCGACACTGGGACTGCCTGCCCGTGGCCGGCAGACCTCAGCAGAAATGCCGACTGCTTGGGGAGCTCCCACGTAAGCAGTTCCTACCACAGCACCATTTACTCTATCACATTGTTTACTTCCTTCACTCCACTTACAACACATTTCTACTATGTTAATTTGGCTCTTCCCAACTCACATTTAAGGTTCAAAAAAGGCCCTCCCTAGTAGCGCAGCACTAAAAAGCTAAAGTCACTTTAGCATGAGTTCAAGCCCCTTCCTGGAGGTGACCACATGGCGTGGCAGACCTCTCCTGACCTGCCCACTGCTCCCCTCAGCAGTGTACTTCGTCAGTCGGCCTGTTCTGCTCCCCACTCTGTCTCTGGTGAATCCTCTCACCACCCCTGCACCTCTGGCTTGTACCCCAGTTCTGTATGCATAAATAAATCTTTAAAAAAAGAGAGAGAGATATCTTGTCAGTATCACACGCTATCTCTGGTGCCCTTCACAGAACTAAGTAACACAGTGATAGAATAAGCACTCCTACCAAGAGTCTTTTATGAACACCATGCAACAAGATTGGGATAAAATGTTCATTGTGGAAGCCGAGTGTTGGGTATCTGGGTGTTACTATTCTGTGTATGTGTGTATGTATTTCAGCATTTCACATGTATGTGTGCGTGCATTTCAATCATTAAAAAGTCAAAACCAAAGTCATTCATCCCTCGTGTTTAAAAAGGGGGAAGCAGGCCTGAAGAGCAGACTTCCTAGGGAGGTCTCTCTGGGAAGAGGAAGGCCCAGCTGTAATGCCCCAATCCTCCAGCTGAAAAATCCAGTAAAATGACATCAGCCAAGGGAGAACAGGCTGCAGGAACAGCTCTCTGATTCTGACTCTGCTCTGGGGCACCAGCACATCTGTGCAGCAGTTCCATGAATAAAGTTCACTCCCATTCTGTTGGGACAACAGTGTGGGGTACTATTTTCTCCAGGCTAATTATTTTATTTCTATTGTTTCAAAGCCTAATTTGAATACTTGGGAATCAGACAGAAACCAGATTCAAATCCTAACACAAACAGCTTCCATTTCATCAACTGGAAAAAGAGGCTACACACCCCTCCCACTTGGTTTTGGAGGAAAATGAAACAGCATTTAATGTTGTGGCAGAAAAAAGCTCTCTCACACTGGGGTCGCAGGGACTGAGTCTTTCTTCTAGAAGCACATGCACTAGGCAGCACAGGTATGATTTCCTAAGTTTTAGAGACAAAACACAAGGTTCACAAATGGTCAACAGACAGTAAGTGGCTGAACAGGTCCTTGAATCAGTACCTTCGGACCAAAGAAAGTGCTTTCTGCAGAGTCAGACTCTCCTGGTGGCTTGGAAATGCCCCCTTTTCAATCCCACTGATAGGAGTTATACATGAGCTTGGACCCTGTTAATTTGAAGTTAGCAAATAAAAATGTTTAGCCCTCCATAAGCATCTACCTCCTTTCTCATTCTCTCATCTGAGAATTATATTCTGGGAAGTCTTTTCCCCCACAGGAAAAATCCATTTTGTTTTCATTTTTAATTAAATGTACCAGATCACAAGACACTCAAAACTTCAGTCGAGAGGCCCAGAGACACAGATACAGTTTGTGCACAAGCCCCCAAGCTCTGCTAACCAGCCAATGCCAGCTTGCTGAGTCTCCACAACTAGCAACAGGCCTCTGTGACCTCCCCAAGTGGTTTCCCATCATCATAACAAAAGTGTTTTGAAGCCCAAGATGAAAGGTTATGATCAAAGAGGCCAAAGGTATAGGCTGCTAAGAGAATTAAACACGAGAGATGGTTTCCATGTGATAGGGGCAGGAAATGCGTGGGCAGGGGTTGCTCAGGGCCGGGCTTCCCGACACTGCAAAGAATGGCAGAGCAGACTCTGTACAGTAGTTGTGGCTAATGGTTTCCGGCCCCACAGAGCACAAATAAAAATAAACCAGCCCCATAAAGGTGTTGAGCTCGTGGTTGCAGGAAATGCCAACATATACAATACCTCTCTCTGCACCCACTCGTTCTACTGCTGTATGGAGCTCTGTGCATAAAGCCCAAAGAGAGGTGACATCACCTATTAAGATCCAAGAAAAGGGCATGATGAAAAGATTACCTATCCTGGTTCAGTGCCCCTCAGCTACCGAGACTCTGCAGACTTCAACTTAAAAAAAAAATCCTAAGATATCAAAAATTCAACAGGAAAGTGGGAAGAGGGCAGAGCTTTTTTTTTTTTTTAAGTTTAAAGGCACAGCTCCACAGCTAATTCTTCTGTATGTAGAGATGAGAACCACTGAGCAAGTCAACAGAAGCCGAAAAAGAAATGTCAACTAATAAGCTTTTAAGTAAATTTAAATCCAGGACTCCAAAAGCATTCTGCAGGGTTCTGGCCTTTTGAAAATGGCGTGAAGACACACCAAGGATGTTTCCTTGATGGTAACTGGCTGGGTAAATCACCTGAGACAAAAGTTAGTGCTATAACTGGGAATTTACTAGCTGCCCAGGGTATCTCAAGATCACTGGGGAGCATTTAATAAAGCCTACATATTAAAGTCTCTGAAAATTATGTCTTTCTTAATTAACTATTGCTATTATCCCCAATCTTCGACCTGTCTTCAAGTTCAGCTGTTTTCTTATTCAGTTACCTCTTTACCCAGCCTAGACTAAAAAGCAGCCTCCTGCTAACAGTAGGAATGGCAAACCACAGCCCACAGACCAACAGCCTGGTTAGTAAGTTTTATTGGAATATTTCCATTCAAGAAAAAGCTTGCCAACTCCTGCTCTGGAGCTGTCCTTAAATTGGTGTTAGTGGAGTTGTGCGGGTAACCGGTAGACACACAGGCACAAGCGTTTTACCAAGTTCAACTGAGATGCACCAAAGTGCTAGATCCAAACTTCTCAATGTGCACATGAATCTCCTGAGGGGTGGCGATTCTGCTTCAGTAGGTCTGGGTGGGCTGGAGAACATCCTCTTCACTAAGCTCTTCGGTGAGCTCAGTATTGCTGGTCAACAGACTATACCTGGAGAAGCAAGAGTCCAGAGCAGAGCTGCAATTTGGCTACAGGCTAGAATCATGTGCCCCATTTTTATTTATATTGGTGTGGGGTAGAAGCTGGTATATCATTTTATGCTGATATACAGCCAAGTGGGAGAACCTCAGAACAGAGCTCATCACCTCAGCAGTTAAGTAGTGGAATTCTCGACCCAGCCTATAGCTCACACAGAGCACCCCAGATGGAATAGGGTTGATGACGGCATGATGCGAAAAACACACTTGGGTTCAGACAGTAGACCTATTATGCTCCCCAAGCTGTGTTATGACCTCTGATCTTAATTAAGCAAGTTACAAATCTTGAGCTCTAGTGTCTCTGCCCACCTAGTGAGGTCTGGAACCCATAAGATAATGGCAAGAACAAAATGAGAAACACTTGCAAAAGTGGTGTGGCGAGCATGTACCCTATAAATAAACACAGGCATACACCCCCTCCCCCCCCACCACCACCTTTTGCACTTGGCTTACACTACTTAAGAGAAAACACTTTTCACCACTAAATCATGTGGAAACAGATGTAAAGGTGAAATCACACACTCTGTTCCATTTCTAACAAAGTGCTTAATGATGCAGTTCCAGGAATGCATTGTGTCCGGAGAGGAAGTACCTGTAACAGTTCAGGATTAGTAAAGGATTATCAGCTGCAGGGAAGGCAGAGGCCTGCCTTGGCCTGCCATTGGCAGCCCGGCCTTTTGTCATTAACTTCATGCCTCATGAAAACGCGGGGGTAGAGTCACAGCTGCATGTTATCAATTAAAAAGTTCTACAGAGGACTGAAGGAGAAAAAGGAATCTAGTATCAATCAGGAATAAAATCAAAACACAGAGCCAGAGGCAAAGGAAGGAGTGGCATGGAATCTTTAATTTGGAAGGTAAAAATATTATTACACTTAATGGAAGGTAGAGGTCATGTTAATAAATGCTCATTACAAAGTTATTCTGACAGATGTCACAGAACTTCTCGAGTTCTCCACCTGCATACCAAGTCAGAGTCAGAAGCGAGTATGAATGTGAAGAAAATCCACGCATCCAAACCAGCTGCCATCTCAGGAGCTCTTATCCAGGGAAAATCAAAAAGTGAACCTAAAAGAAAGAAGCAGAAAGGTAAGAAGAGGGACCAAAGTATATTTTATGATACTATAGCTGGGGCCCCGACCTTTATGTCTAAATGCTAAACCCACAGAGACGCCAAGTTACAGACTTCCCAAAGTTAGGCTCGGACCACCAGAATGAAACAGTTATTCTTCACAGAACACTGTGTAGAAGTAGCCATAAAAATTCATGTTCAGGTCTGAATTCAAGCCCACCAAGACACAACTAACTGCGAACTGGTAGACATGAGCTCTAACTCCCCCTCCATCCGCACTTACTTGCAGGATTTTATGTAAGTCACTTTACCCTCTCTGGCCCACAAATCCTTTGAGGTGAGGGGTTTACAATTTAGCATAGAGAACTTTCCTGGATCTAGAAAGTGCATAAAGTGCTAAATTCCAGTTTGGAGAGAGACACAGGGGAGGAAAGAAATCAAGAGAAAGTTGAGAAAAATTTCTAATCTCAGATGTAACAAAGACCACAATAAAACATGGTCATTTCATTTAAAGATAGGTGGTTTGGGGCAAGGAGGAGGTGGAGCGTTAACTCCCAGAGAAACGGCACATGGGTGCCAGAGTCAGAGACTGGGTTCCCAAGTGGGATGCCATGGCCTGGCCAAAAGTGACCGTGTGCTCTGAGGCCTCCAGTCATAAGCAGCCCATTTCCCTGGCACGTGCCATAAAAATATTAGTCATTGTGAGACATGACCTTAAAAGGTTGGGGAACACCACCTTTCAGAAGAACTGAGCTTTTCAACCACCTTATTACATTTCCACCTGGAAATTCTAGCATCGGGGCTTCAAGCAAAGATTTTTAGACTTCTAGCCAGAGTGCTTTGATTTCACTAACAATGGCATGTACAGAAATGCGATGTAACTGTAGAACCTTCCTACGTCTGTAGAATTTGATGAGAAATGTATAAAATAAAGAGCAAAAAAAAAAACACAACAAAATGTGTTCACCGTGCAAAACAAGAACACAAAGACCAATGAAACCCCTCTATCCTCCCCATCAAAGATCCAAAAGCAAACCCTCTGGCGTGACTCTGATGTAGTACAACACACCAATTCTGAGACGCCTAGGGTGCAAGGCCATGTCTGCAAAGAGCTTGAACACATTTAAAATTATAAAAGAAATCCTTGCTTAGTACAAAAGTCAAATTTTGAGATTCTTTGTTAAAACATTTAAACCAAGTTTTGAGACCATTAAAACATTTAAATCTAAAACACTGGAACATAAATGACTCATGACCATTAGTCTTTCTGACAGTGGCTTTTAGAAGACTCTGTTTATAAAGATCTGCTCCCTTCTTTTAAGGCAAAAATATATCATCAGACAGTATTCTAAAAGAGAGGTTCTTGGATTCCTTGAAATGTTAGCTCAACAAAATTGGACTCTTCAACAGCTAAGAAGAATGGTTTCAAATTCTAACTAGAGGATACAGGTTTCAGGAAACTGACTAACTTCCTTCCCAGATGTCAAGACAAGCACAATGGAAGACACCTACTGAGAAAAGTTAGCATGACTTCTTCAGTCTATTTCACCCATGCAGAAAAGAGAGCACCATTTCATCAGTCTATTCTAATCATCTTAAAAGAAAGCAAGACACAACACAAAGAACTGTTAAAAATAATTACGCTCTGTACAGACACAAAAGATGACACCAGACAGGGTCACTTCTATTTGGAATCTGAATTATTCCCCAGCAACATCTCTATTCAGACACCAGCACTGAGCAGATGTGTTCAAATACTGATTTTCCCTCAAAACCATCCCATCCTGAATCTGGTCACCCAATTAAAACTAAAATCAGAGAAAACGTGAATCCAAGGACATTCTGAAGAAATTCTAGGTTCAGAGTTCAATTTGAATCACACAGTTTCAGAAAGCATGGATCACCTATGGCTAAATTGGAGAAGAGCCTTATAAATCAGCTAGTCTAATCCTTTCATTTTATAGATGAGAAAATTGCAACCCGAGTTGACAGATCTGTCCAGAGATGTGCTGGCCAACACCACAACCACATAGGTGACTATTCTGACATAGTAAAATTTAAAATTCAGCTCCCCAGTCACCTGCCACATCTCAAATGTTCAATGATCACATGTGACTAGTGGTCCCTGCACGTGGTAGGCAGACCAGCAGTATTTCCACAGTGTAGAATGTTCTACCGGCCAGGCTGGCCCAGGATCGCCCTCTCTGGATGAAGTTGGGTCTCATGATCTGCTTCTTCTGATTTCTTCTGGATCATATTAAAGATGGCCAATACTGTCGAAACAGTGTCTAGCTTTCTCCTTCCCTATCAAGCTTTTCTAGGTTTTTCCCATTTAAAAAAGACAGGCAAGTTTAATTTTTTTTTTAAAGATTTTTTTTATTTGTCATACAGAACTGGGGTACAGGCCAGAGGCTCAGGGGTGGTGAGAGGCTTCACCAGAGACAGAGTGGGGAGCAAAACAGGCAGATCTACGAAGTACATTGCTGAGGGGAGCAGTGCACGTAGTTTAATATTTTTAATGAAAACCTTCTAACAGAAATATGTATGTACCCATCATCCAAAAATCTTTGAAGATAATTAAGAGAAAGGAAAATAAAAGCCTTGAGTCAAAATGTCAGTTATCAAGTTCCCACTAAGTCACAGGAGTTCCAGGGCCAAGAAAAGTCAACTGACGTTTCACCCAGTTTTAATTACCTGGTGTGTACCATGGGATACGTTGTTTGCCTGTCTCTGTTACAGGCGCCTCCAGGGTCACCCAAAGTAATGTGTGTAAAAGTTATGTGGCAAGGATGCGAGTCCTGCAAGCCTGGTAATGTGACAACAGCAAGACATTTCACAAACGCTGACAGTGTTTAATCTGTTATATAAACAGTTACACTTCAACTTTCCACCGCCTGCGAATGAGGCGGACAGTTTGGGGCAATGGATAAAAGCCTCAGCTGGCAATCCCAACTGAGTCACCCGAACAGTACAATGGGAACCATCATAAATTCTACTCATCAGCAGCTCTAACAGCCGTGAGACTCAGATGAATGTCAGGTCAGTCCCCTCCCTGTGCAGAACAGGAAAACTGGGGTTAAGAAACAAGCTTCTGTGTCTATCCAAACAGTTAACTGCATCCATCTTCTAGCCTCACAGCCCCCCAAATTAATTTTTTTCCCTTGGCTTCTTTCTTCCATGCTATTTTCCATATGCCTTAGTAACTTATCCACTGATCTATCTGCTTTATAGGTAGATGTCTTACAGCCTTATAGGTAGATGTCTTACAGCCTGAAAAGGACCTACTCATTCGACATGCCAGCACTGTGACTACAAACCCTGTGCTAAGCCCTGAGGTCCCTCCCTCAGGAACTTAGGAGCCTACAGAGAGAGATAGGAAAGTGAATGAAGTTCTTAACTACGAGTAACCTTAGCATTAGAGATGAGCAAAGTAGACTCAGAGGACCCCAAAAGAGGAGAACATCTAAGCTGCAAGGACAGAGAAAAGAAGGCAGGGAGTGGTGCAGCAATGAACTTCATAAACACGAATACCTGATACTCTTGTCTTCTTTTGATAGCTTTAAATAGACCAAATATAAAACAGACCTTGAGTAACAATTAGTCATCCATTAGTGAATTTTAGTTAAAAAGCAGATTGGGACCCTCCCTGGTGGCACAGAGGGTTAAAGCACAGCACTAAGAAGCTAAAGCCACTTCC